TTATTGCTCTGTACTTGCTTAATATGATGTTTTGATTTTTCTAGTTGCCTAAATTGAGTAGATTATCTATTTTATTATTACTATTATATGTAAGTAAACACTTGCACTACTACTACTACTACAACGTATTTTTGGTGGACAGTGTTTTTTTTGTTTTTTAAGCTACTTTGTTTTTTGCTTTAATGGCTCAAGAATTTTTTAAAACCTGATTAATTTTTAAAATATAGCATGTAATTTGTAACTTTTTTTAAATTTTTATACAAGTGATAATTTGTGAAACATTTAACTTCAAGCTTTATGAAATAGCTTTCTGCCATAAATATCTTGTTATTCAATATATTTTACAAAAATGCCTCAGAAATATTAACATGTGGACAGTAAGAGACCATTTGTTCTAAAGCTGTTTTTTGAAGCCCACTCCCAGAAAGTTATGGAATCCAGTCTTAAACCCTCAAAGTACTAGTTTCTACTATTGCTGCCAACAACTTTCATAAGTAAATTGTCTTCTCAATAAAACAATTGTTTCAACTAAAACCTAGCCAGCCTGCTTTTTCCAAATATTGTTCTATTTTTAACAGAACACAACACAAAGAAATCTTCATTCTACTGATTTCTCCTAACTCCTTCAAGATAATATTACAAACTTCAGTAATATTAACTTTTTCATCCCCCAGTATCATTCTAATAGCTTTCCTTTGATTCCTTTAATAAATCTATTCCCTCTCAGATTAGGAGACTATAATTTACAGAGTTTCAAGTAAAGCTTAACTTGTGATTCTTGAAAAAAAGAAATTATGGAGATTTATAATTTGGGCTAGAACAATACTTCAGAAGGAAGTGTATATTTTTAATGAGTGTTATTTTATACTTGATCTGTGTAATGCCATTATAAAGCATCTACCACCTTGTTTGTTTACAGGCAGATCAACTAACAGAAGAACAGATTGCAGGTAGGTACACTTGTGCATTTTGATATCAATAGAATGCTCAACCATTGAAAAGGTGTTGACATTTATTTTACTATACATCCCAGAAACAGATCCCTAGAAATCTTTCTGCTTTTTGTAATACTGAAGTTGTTATATTGAAATCGATTTTATCTGGCTTATTTGCAGAAACTTGTTTCAGCATACCTTTTTGAAATTTTTAAAAATTAATTTTGAGTGTACTTTATTTTCTTCTAGAATTCAAAGAAGCATTTTCACTATTTGACAAGGATGGAGATGGAACAATCACAACAAAAGAATTGGGCACAGTTATGAGGTCACTTGGGCAAAATCCAACTGAAGCAGAACTACAAGACATGATAAATGAAGTAGATGCAGATGGTATGGGTTAAATTAGTTTCTATGTTAATATGAAATCATTATTATTGGAAGTTTAAAATTACAGACTTTGTAAATTTTTATAAAATTTAGTTTACTTAGATTGAAAACATCCATGGAATAGAACTTTACTGGAATTGGGATTTTAAAATGTATATAATATTAGATGTGAAAAACTTGCACACCCCCTCTCCACCCACTTTATATAATTAAAGTTTCCTGTATTTTGGGTTGTTTATTTGTGGTAACATCTATGTATAATTTGATCTTTCTGTTTCTCTGAATACTTAAATTGGGCAGTAGGAAATGACACATGGATAACAATTGGATCGTAAAGTATCATTGTATTTTCTCGTCATTAAGATTTATAAAGGAATTGTTGCATCTTTATTTTTATCATGGTTTGCAGTTTAATGGCATACTGTATTTATTAGAGCTGCAACTTATTTAAAATATGCACACCACAACAAAATATTAAGTTCTCTTGTTAAAGCTTAATAGAACAAATACTTAATCTTCAGTTATGCTGGTTTTTCACATGACACTTTCATATATTAAAGATTTGTAATTAATAAGACTTCTTTGGTTTCATTAGGAAATGGGACAATTGACTTTCCTGAGTTCTTAACAATGATGGCAAGAAAAATGAAAGATACTGATAGTGAAGAAGAGATAAGAGAAGCTTTTAGGGTATTTGATAAAGATGGTAATGGATTTATTAGTGCTGCTGAATTGCGGCATGTAATGACAAATTTGGGGGAAAAATTAACAGATGAAGAGGTGGATGAGATGATAAGAGAAGCTGATATTGATGGTGATGGTCAAGTAAATTATGAAGGTTAGTGGATATTAAATGGTGTTCAAATATTTGCTTCTAAAGTATTTTGTACTAATTAGTTTTTTTGATAACTTTGTGTAATGTATATCCATTTTTAGATTAGCAGAAAAGTTAAATTACTTGTAATGAGGAAGGACAGTTGTGTTTGTACATGAATATATTGAACTATAATGCACATGATAATACAAAGCAAATTAGCTGTAAGCCACATTTTTGTTTTAAGGTTAAACCTGAAAACTTAATATGAATGAAGTTCCTTAATAATTAGAATGTGTTAGCCCTGCAATAAAAGGATTGTATATAAAACTAAGGAAAAAAAGCATTTGTAACACAATGTTCGTGGTTTTGAATTGTTATTATACTGTATTTTTCTTTTTTCTATAGAATTCGTCACTATGATGACGTCGAAGTGAAGAAATGCTACAATTTGTAATTAAACTTTTTACATGCTTTTCCACTTGTTGATTACTATAGCATGCAACAGCCAACTGTTTCACTTTTGTACTTTTTACTAGAGAACTTTGTCCTGTTTTTCCTTGTTATGTCTTTGTTCTTTCTCCAAGTCTAGGTTATGCTTTTGTAAATTACTTATTCTTTGTTATTAAACTCCCATTTTTTTCAAATTTTCTTTGCAGCACCATTTGCTGTTACATAATTTAACCTACATTCCATGTTTTAGCAAATAATTTTAACACTGAAGAATAGTTAACTAAGGTAGAGCACATAACACATTTAACTGTGGTTAATTGTTTGAATAAACCAGTATGCTCAGTTAAATATAAAAATGCTAAATACTGTTATGAATTTTCATTACATATAATTTCGGATGTTTGCGAGATGCTGGTGTATTATAAAGTTTTAAATAAAACTTTAATCATATCCAATTTAAGTTTGGTCATATGTTCCAAAGTCTGCAGACTTGTAATGTTGGAAACTAGGTTTTGATATCCGTGGTAGGCACAGCACAGATAGCCTATTGTGTAGCTTTGAGCTCAACTACAAAGAAACTGTACACTGTGGGTGAGCCTGAATAGTTGCATTGCAGTCATTTTGTATGTTAGTTACACTAGCATGGCAGAAAAAAAAGTGAAATATATACTGGTAAATTAGTTGATTTTTAAACTTGTGTAGTTAACTTCATGTACCCTTTCTTCACAGAAATAAAATGCATATATTAAATTATTTATAACAGAAAATGAGAAAATATAGGGTACTGATTACTTTTCTCTGTTCATGGGACATACATAAACTTAACTAAATGTGCTCTATCCAACCAGGTATTAGAAAAGGAATGTTCACTAATTTCAAACTTACTGTGTGTAATATACACAAAGTAACAAGCTTTTAGTAAAATGTATGTTTTACTTTCATAACATATTTGTATTCACGACATCTGTGACTTGATGGTGTCAGTCTGACCAAGTCAGAATGCAAAATGTTAATGTGAAATATTAAAAAAAAAAAAGCTTTTGTCCATCATACAGTTTGCATAACCTCCGAAATGCATATAAAATATTAAATTGAATATTTAATAAACTAGCAGGTTATATTTAGAAATCTGCAACTTCAAAAACACACCATCTATGTGGTGGTTTCCAGAATTAAAAGAAATAGATTGAATTTACTTCATTCTTGAACATGAGAGAAAAAAATTGTATAATTCAATATCAAGAATCAAAACTTAAAAGTACACAGAAAATGTGCTATAAAACAACCAACAGCACAATATATTATATTTCAAGTTTGTGTAAAAAATTTACATTAATGTTTTCACTTTTCGTAAGAGTATAAATGCAATAAAATAGCTTAACCATTACTGAAGAAAGCCTAGTAAATTGAACAAACTACAGAAAGTAGTAGACAACTTGACATTGAAGAGGACATGTGAATGCGTTAACTAGTTAAAATTAATGTCTCCTAATAATTCTATTTTTGATTTAACCTTTCAGTATGAAACAGTTGCCTATATATAATTTATATTTATTTCCTAATTTTTTATGGTGGTTGCGAGATTGGTCAAATCTACCAAACCTGTACAAAGATTTACTAAAAATAACAGATAAAATATAAAGTTTTCTCTTAAGAAACGTTTGTTAATTATCTGGACATTATAAAGATTTTGCATGTTAAATTTGAAAGTTTTCTGATGCATAAAAGTATTTTTAATTTTAAAATAAAAGTTACTTTGTATGATAAATATGCAACATGAGAAGAAAAAAAAAGCATGAGAAAAACATTGCTTTACAAACCTTAAGACTTAATAAAAAAAATTATTTTGCGTATGAAAGCATTGTCATGTTTACTGATTATCTGCCAAATTTCATTAACATTCACTTACCAATTTAAAAGTCATAGCATGAAAACTATAACAAGCACAAAATGGATACACGGTCTGTCCCAGGGACCAAGCCCATGCTGAAAGAGTTAAAGAATAAAAATATAGACTTGTATGTTATTGTTGAGCAGCCCTTAGCATGACTGAAATGCTGAACATTTTAAATTGATAGATTAACTTAAACTTTTCACATTGCTGGTGATGGATACTTTTGCTTATATATAAAGCAAAAAATCTGTGTTTGTGTGTTATTTTAATACTAGGTCACTGGGCCAACCTCAACCGAAGTTAACGTTCACTGCATTCACAGATGGTGCCATGTCCTTATACTAAAAACAATAAACACACTGTGGGGTGCGTAAACATCTTTTATATCTCAGGGAGTACACTTTTACATTATGGAGGAATACACTGAAAAAAAATGGCCATTGGAATACTACATAAACTCAGCTGATGTTTCTACTCCAACAGCCACCGTAAGGCTGATAGGAAGAGTCGTTTCTTGAGTTATACCCACTTCTTTCTTTGACTCGTGACCTTTCAACTTCAGCCAGTAACACACTTCTGTGGCCAATTACTCTAAATTAATCATGCAAAACTCTGTGGAAGGACATTAAGCACTGGGTGTTGAAAATGGTTAACAGAAAGTACCCCTACTGCCACTACCTCTTCCTAAAATTTTACTAAAGAAAGACTTCGAAAAGTAATGTAGTTGTAGCACTAGTTTCCATTGTCTTGAATGTATAATTCATTAACGTTTTGTACAAATGTTTCTTAATGTTTTGAGAAACAAACAAAATAGGGGTTACAGAAATAGTTTTATATACGAGAAGATTGGATGTATTTCAATGGCAACCATTTTGTCAAAGTTGATAACACAATATAAATGGGATTGTGGGTTATCATAGCTGAAAACTTTATCATACAATCCTTTACATCTTTATGTGAAAGCATTTCACTGTCTGAAAACGAGTTTTGAACTTTGTTATTACGATACTGATACAAGCTATGTGCATTTTATAACATAATAACATTGCGTAACATATATGCAGATTAGGTTATTGACAAAATAAAACTAATGCAAACAGCAATAGTAAACGGTCATTTGTTTTTATCATCAAAGAAAAACAACAACCCTGATATTTATCATGTATTAACTTAAGTAACTGCAATTCATTAGTGTTTCTCTGAATTGCCATTAGCTGAGATGGTAATTTATCTACAGTTTTGGTTAATGGCAAAGGTAGTTATCACTCCTGAACATTAGGTGGTGACTCAGTAAACAGTTAGTGCAAGATACAGCATTTGCATTTTATTTACCATCATTAATTAATCAATAATTTATATTTATGAGATCTGAAAGTGAAGAAGTGTAAATTCATTTCTGATAGTTTTAAGGGTACAAGTAATATTTTAAATCTATAATAGGTTTGCTTTTTTATTTTATTTTTATCCAATTTGGTCTAGTATTTTCTTAAACATCTTTGAAGCATATTGAGGTAAAAATGTTAGTTTAATTTGAACATACTGAAAACCAAAAAATGTGTCAGATTTTATTTAACAGCACCTTAAAACCATCAATTTCCATGGACTAAGTGGTCCCTACAATCCTGTTTTTTATCATTAGCTAATTTTCTCTCTTAAATTTTAAGTGAATAAAAAAGCAGCTATAAAATGGTAAAGAGGAGTAAATGGCATGAAATAAAATATCCGCTATTGAAAGATTAGATTTTACATTTGAGTATAAAGCAAAAACTGACCTTTTGAACAATTTAATATTCTTAGAGAGTTCATTCTTTATAAAATTATGTACATTAGCACACAGATATTACTAGTAACTAGCCAAGACATTAAAAAAGTGATACACTTCTTCCTTGTCAATAACAGCAACCTCTGTGTTGCATACAAAACATTTCACAGGATGGTAAACATCAGAATTACTCCCATCAATAGGAAGCCCACCTCGCTTAGAGCTCTTCTTCTTCTTGTGGCAGTAACGAAGAACTTGCTCATTATCCACAATACAATTTGTAACAAACATGGCTCGATACTGTGTCTTGTACAGTTCATGTCTGAAAATAAAAGATGGATTTATAACTTAATATTATCATCTTCAGTTTTTAAGATTTCACTAACAAAAGTCAGTATTTTCCAAAATAACAGTTAAGTCAATTTCTACTCCAGAAGTTCAAATTCTATACCTAGTTTCTCTAGAGCTGACACTTGAAGAAGGTTACTGAAAATTTGTGTTTTTGTTTTTTAAGTAGATAAATGAAAAACATTTTTTTATAATTTGAGAGTATAGGTCATTATATCTATTACATGGTACACTGTACTCTGAAAGAGGCACTACATAAATTAAAATAAATGTTTATTTTTTTTTGTTTATGTATTCCATTGTAAGACATGTTCTCGTACATCATGCCCCATGTGTCTGTATCATGTAAAACAATGTTTTCTTTATGATTCAAACATGCATTCAGTAATAACACTTATCATCAATTGCCTTGATAACAGGGAACTGATCATTCACCAAAATGTTAATTTATAAAGTAGTTACCTACATGGTTGGTGTCAATATGATTACTTGGCATAGTCTTCATAAATTCATATAGGATACAGTTACCTTGAAAACCTTTTCCAAAGAATGACTGAGGATATTTCAAGACTTATTGAAACACTTAGTTTATTCACATAACATAGCCATCGTGAGCTTGATGATTGTATAATCTTGTTACATAATGAAATTAAATGTCATGAATCATAAAGCCACTTATATCAAATGTTCACTTTCAGAGCATAGGCTTAATGACCAATTCAAATCACATGATGAATTTGAACAAACATGATGTTAGTGAGGGAGTTGAGTGACATTATTTTAGTAGGTTTGCCTTAACAGAGCTAAAACATTATCAATTTCTTAATATAAATTGAACAGTAATCAAAGAGAACTTTAATACATTAACACAACAAGTTTTTTAACAACTGATTGATACAAGACAGATCTAAGACTGGTCTCCAATCTCCAGTCTTCTTGGGGACAACATACAGTTGAGAATAAAAACTTGAAGAAACTGGAACTAGTGGTTTGATAGCATCCTTGAGCAGAAGTTCTGACACAGTCCTGAAAAGACAAATGCAAGAAACCAGATCATCTAGCCAAAGGTGACCACAAAGAGAAGTAACGTGAAACGCGAGTAAGAGTGAGACAAGTCATCGAAAATTGGGCCTGAGATAAAGAGATAAAAGCCTCAGGATTAGGATCTAACAGAGGTAAAAAGGGGCTCAAAGGTTGAGAATCCAAATAGGGACTGGAAGAATGATGAAAAGCCAAAGCATGTTACTCAGAAACATGAGAGGGGTGATGCATACCAGAACCCAAAATTTTAGACAAAACTCTTTGAAGATGAACCTCTATCTGGGGAAGGGGAAAAAAACCAAGTAATCTGAAAAAGGGAGCTCACTTAACATGGAAGGGACGAATCATAAGACACAGGAGAAAGTTGCAAAATACTGCAAACTTGAGTAATCAACTGTAAGAATGGCAGTGAAGGTCAAACATCCTCCTAATGCCCCTCGCCATCAGCTCGTGCCACCACACATGGAGAAGAAGATGAACCAGGCCCCATGTAGGAAGCCAACTCCCATTGAACCAAAGCCTGCAACTCTACAGCCAAAAGCACCAATCCCATGGCTTGAGTAATACAGTTAAACATGTCTCCAGACAAAGCAGGAGCCGACGTAGTAGACACAGTTAATTGTGAATCCATAATTCAAAAAAAAATGCAAGAAAAATATGTAATATACTCTAAAAAGTAAGCAAACTAACAGAAAAGTAAATCAAGAAAA